TTGTTTTTTCTGCATCCATATTGACTCCCAGTAGAGGCCATTCTGCCTTTATGAACCTCATGTTTAACATAACGGAAATCTCACCAGAGATGTAAGTGTATTTTAATTATCTTGCCAACCACTGGCTATGACAGTACTTGAAACTGGAATTTCTTGAACCAGAGGAGTTTGTGAGGGAATGCAATTTTCTTTGTGTGTCTTTCTTGGGTAAAGAGTGAGGGACAGGGGACAGAAGAAGGAGTGTTCTTACAACTACTGGCGAGAGTTGACATTTTGCAGCAATGAGTGGGTTTTGTTTTGTTTTTGCGTTGCTATAAGAGACAGGGTTTCTCTGTGTTTTCTTGCCTGTCCTGGAACTTTCTATATTTATTTATTTATTTTAAATTATATACATATATGTGTCTGTGTGTGTGTTTGTATACATGAGTGTAGGTGCCTGAGGACACCAGAAGGTCCCTCATTGCTGGAGTACCAGGCAGTTGTGAGCCACACTATGTGGGTGCCCTCTGCTAATAACAAGTACTCAGAACTTTTGAGTCTTCTCTCTATCCTTAGATTAGATTTTTTTAAAAAGAAGGACTCTAACTGTGGTATGGAGAACTGTCTGATGATAACTTAGCTAAGAGTACGTGCTCTGTGTCTGCAGCTCACGTTGCTACCATGAGAATCCAGGTCAGAGCACAGCAAACTCCACTGCTGAGGTCTCTGCTGGGCAGAGGCACCTGGGCTGTTCACGTCTCCCAACCCTCGCTCATTACCCCTAAGATCTTTGTGTTTTCTTAGTACACTTATTTCTCGTGGGGCAGGATCTTGAAAGTCATTTTGTGATAAACTTATGATCCTGAAGAAAAAATGTTGGTTTTACCTCAGTGGCTTTAAAAACAGAAAATTCATGTTTACCAGAAGAATTTGTGACCAGAGAATGGAGAGGAAGAATTGCCAAGGGGTTGGAAAATATCCATGAAGCAATTCAGTTTAGTAAGGAACTCAGGCTCAACTGTTGGCATATCAAACACTAGGGCAGGTTAGGTCTTCAGTCTGCACCCTCATGGAAAGGGGTCATGGCTGACCTGCTGATCTTGGAAGGCTGTTATTGGTTAGTCGGAGCAATAGCATCACTGCTCTGGAGACTTCAGACACTTGAGTCTTGTCCATTGTTCCTACATGCCCAAACTGCAGGGGACACCCTGGAGTGAGAGGTGACAGCATTTTCCCTAGCTGAGTAGTCCCAGGAGGAAGGAATATGACCAGATTTAGCTGTGACAGAATTTGATTGCCTGATTCTCCCTTTCCTCTACTGGTCAGGTCATTTCATATTATATGTGGCTATTCCTCAAGGTTACTGGCTGAGGTCCAGGGATAAACCTAGGAGAGTTGGTATAGAGTCTCTGTAGATCAGACAAGAGAAGGCAAATAGATAATTACACCAGCACATGCACACACATGTACATATGCACGTGGCAGATAGATAATTACACCAGCACATGCACACACATGTACACGCATGTACACATGCACACGCATGTACACATGCACACACATGTACAGATGCACATGGCAGATAGATAATTACACCAGCACATGCACACACATGTACACATGCACGTGGCAGATAGATAATTACACCAGCACATGCACACACATGTACACATGCATGTGGCAGATAGATAATTACACCAGCACATGCACACACATGTACATATGCACATGGCAGATAGATAATTACACCAGCACATGCACACACATGTACACGCATGTACACATGCACACGCATGTACACATGCACACACATGTACACATGCACATGGCAGATAGATAATTACACCAGCACATGCACACACATGTACAGATGCACATGGCAGATAGATAATTACACCAGCACATGCACACACATGTACACGCATGTACACATGCACATGCATGTACACATGCACACACATGTACACATGCACATGGCAGATAGATAATTACACCAGCACATGCACACACATGTACAGATGCACATGGCAGATAGATAATTACACCAGCACATGCACACACATGTACACATGCACGTGGCAGATAGATAATTACACCAGCACATGCACACACATGTACACATGCATGTGGCAGATAGATAATTACACCAGCACATGCACACACATGTACATATGCACATGGCAGATAGATAATTACACCAGCACATGCACACACATGTACACATGCACACACATGTACACATGCACGTGGCAGATAGATAATTACACCAGCACATGTACACATGCACGTGGCAGATAGATAATTACACCAGCACATGCACACACATGTACACATGCACACACATGTACACATGCACGTGGCAGATAAATAATTACACCAGCACATGCACACATGTACACATGCACGTGGCAGATAGATAATTACACCAGCACATGCACACACATGTACACATGCACGTGGCAGATAGATAATTACACCAGCACATGCACACACATGTACACATGCACGTGGCAGATAGATAATTACACCAGCACATGCACACACATGTACACATGCACACACATGTACACATGCACGTGGCAGATAGATAATTACACCAGCACATGCACACACATGTACATATGCACATGGCAGATAGATAATTACACCAGCACATGCACACACATGTACACATGCACGTGGCAGATAGATAATTACACCAGCACATGCACACACATGTACATACGCACGTGGCAGATAGATAATTACACCAGCACATGCACACACATGTACACATGCACACACATGTACACATGCACGTGGCAGATAGATAATTACACCAGCACATGTACACATGCACGTGGCAGATAGATAATTACACCAGCACATGCACACATGTACACATGCACGTGGCAGATAGATAATTACACCAGCACATGCACACACATGTACACATGCACGTGGCAGATAGATAATTACACCAGCACATGCACACGTGTACACATGCACACATGTACACATGCACACATGTACACATGCACACATGTACACATGCACATGGCAGATAGATAATTACACCAGCACATGCACACACATGTACACATGCACGTGGCAGATAGATAATTACACCAGCACATGCACAGTTATACATGTACACACACATGTTCCACATGTACAAGAAAGATAGATAATTTCATCAGCAAGTGCACACACATGTACACATGCACACACAAGGTGTGTGCTATTGTTTGTGGATAAATCAGGTATATAAACCAATTATGTAAAAGTATTTATTTTTACTCTATAGTATGAATATTTGTTTGCCTGCATGTATGTTTGTGCACCACATGTATACATGGTGTCTGCAGATGCAATAAAAGAACTTTGGGTCTCTTGGTACTGGAATTACAGACAGTTGTGAGATACCAGGTGGGTGTTGGGAACTAAACCTTGGTCCTCCTCACCCCGGGCCTTGCTTTCCTCTGCCTTGTCTTATCTTTCTTCTTTCGGGTCTCCTGTGATCAGCTGTAGCTCATGGATATTACTTCTGAGGTAACTTCTAAAGGACAGGTCAGAGCTCTCAGAGTGTCTTTGACCCCACCCTATGATCTGGGGCACCAGTGCCTTTCCATTGCTGTCTTGTCACTTTTTGCCACATTCTTATTCTTTGTCTTTCAGTGATTTCTGAGGTAACACTTGGGTCTTCCCATCTTCTGGTAGACACAGGCTCTGTTCCCTTGTCAAGTTCTAACACCACAGGGGGACTGTTAGACTGGGCCTTAGATGTTCATGGCCTTTGTTTTAGTTAGGGTTTTTATTGCTGTGAAGAGAGCCATGACCACAACTCTTATAAAGGTAAGCATTTAACTGGTGCTGGCTTACAGCTTCAGAGGTTTAGCCCATCATGGTAGGAAACATGGTGGCATGCAGGCAGACATGATGCCCAGGAGTAGCTTAGAGTTATATCATCTGGATCAGCAGGAAGAGAGAGACACTGGGCCTGGCTTGAGCATTTGAAACCTGAAAGTCCATCCCGTGTGACACACTTCCTCTAACAAGGCCGCAACCCCTAACAGTGCCACTCTCTGTGGAGTCTGTGGGAGCCATTTGCTTTAAACCACCATAGCTTTTAAATATACTATGTTTGTAAAACAAACAAATAACAACAACAACAGTAACAAAAACACTGGATGATGGCTGTGCAGACCTTTAATCCCAGCATTCAGAGGCAGGTGAATCTCTTGAGTTCAAGGCCAAGCCTGGTCCACAGAGCAAGTTCCAGAATAGCCAAGGCTACACAGTGAGACTTTGTCTCAAAAATCCCAAGATAAAATCAAACATAAATAGGATACTATATTTGTAACAAATTCTTAACATGTAATTTATCCAGGTAGCCTTAGGCCTTCATCCTATGGTGGAAAGAGAATGAGAACTGTTGTTTGCTGTCCTCCCTCCCTCCCTCCCTCCCTTCCCTCCCTCCCTCCCTCCCTTCCTTCTTTCCTTCCTTCCCTCCCTCCCTCCCTCCCTTCTTTCCTTCCTTCCTTCTTTCCTGACATTTCTCCCTCTGACAATCTCTTTAAATTTTTTTTTTTTTACTGTGAAATTTTAAATACAAAACGGGACAGATAGCATGAAAGGCTAAGATCTGGTTAGCTTTTTGTCAACTTGACACAAGCTAGAGCCATCTGGGAAAGTGAACCTCAATCTAGAAGACACCTCCATCATACTGGCATGTAGGCAAGTCTGTGGGACATCGTATTGAAAATGATTGATGTGGGAGGGTCAAGCCCACCCATGGACAAGTCATCCTAGGGTTTATTTGAAAGCAGGCAGAGCAAGCCATGGCGAGCAAGCCAGTAAGCAGCGTTCCTCCATGGCCTCTGCATCAGTTTCTACTTGAGTTCCTCCTGTGACACATGGAGTGAAGAGAAACATGGGCGCATTGGCAGTTGTTCTTGAGGTTTTCATAGTGTGGCTGCAGCAGCTGTGATTTGGTGAGGTTCTCCATTCGTGTGATTTCTAAGACTGTTCTCTTCTTCCAGGACCTCATTTTGCCCAATGGTGGTACTCCAGCAGGCACTTCGAGCCCAGCATCATCATCTTCCCTTCTGAACAGACTCCACCTTGATGATGACATTGATGGTGAAACTCGTGATCTCTTTGTCACAGTTGATGATCCTAAAAAGCATGTTTGTACAATGGAGACCTACATCACATACAGGATCACTACCAAAGTAAGTCCCCTACTTTGTGGGAGTTCATACTTGTGCATGTGTTTTCTGTTTTTGTTTTTGGGCAGTTCACACAGGCTATGGTCATCTAGAGGAAGAATCCTCAAGTAAGAGGATACCTCTCGAAGACTGACCTATAGGCAAGTCTGAGAAGCATTTTCTTCATTAGTGACTGATGTAAGAAGACCCAGTCCGGTGTAGTTGGTACAACCCTTGGGCTGGTGGTCCTGTGAGGTATCAGGAAGGCAGCTGACCATGAGCAGGCCAGTAAGTAGCCTTCCTTCATGGTCTCTGAATCAGCAGTCTCTGCCTTTAAGTTTCTACCTTGATTTCCCCCAGTGATGAACTGTGATTGGGATGTGTAAACCAAATAAACCCTCTCATCCCCAAGTTGATTTTGGCCACAGTGTTTATCACAGCGCTAGGACACAGCCTAGAACAATGCTCTGAGCCATTGGGATCCTCTCTCTGCTTTTGCTGTCTCTCCTGTGGTCACTTTATTATAGTTATGAGAGGGAGGTTATATTAAAAGTTAAAAAGAATTATATGCTTACAATAGGTTTTTATTCTTAAAATGGGGAAATTGTGGCTGAAATAGTTTAAATAAAACTTTTGGTCCCTGTAATCCCTCTGTGTCGTTAGTGGTTTTGCTTAATGTTTCCCAATCTGCATGACTGTATACCAATCCATGTCTCTGTGATGGGACCAGGATTTGGGATAAGTGGAGTTAAAGACAGAAATGAGGGGACGGAAACTGATGTCTAGTGATTCTCTGCCATGCTCTCTACCAGACCGAAAGAGGGAAGAGCACTGGGACTAAATTGATTAGTTTTATCAGAAATCCTAAAAGATTTGTGTTTAGTTAGAATTTTATACATGACGAAACTGAATAACCTGTATGGGGCAACAAAATTGGTAACTAGGTTTCTTTTTTTTTTTTTTTTTTTTTTTTTGGTTTTTCGAGACAGGGTTTCTCTGTGGCTTCGGAGCCTGTCCTGGAATTAGCTCTGTAGACCAGGCTGGTCTCGAACTCACAGAGATCCGCCTGCCTCTGCCTCCCGAGTGCTGGGATTAAAGGCGTGCGCCACCACCGCCCAGCGGTAACTAGGTTTCTAACATGAATGTGTTAAGACTACAAAGTTCATATTCTTCATTTAATTCTACTTGTAAAATAATACATTTAATTCTTTTGGTTTTTCAAGACAGGGTTTCTCTGTGTAACAGCTCTGGCTGTCCTGGAACTCGCTCTGTAGACCAGGATAGCCTCAAACTCACAGAGATCTACCTGTCTCTGCCTCCCAAGTGCATGGATTAAAGGCATGCACCACGACTTATTCTTACTCTCTGGGGGAATGGTGGGTATGGAACACAAGGCCTTGTTTCTGCTAGGCAAGTGCTCTACCACTCAACTATATCCCTGATCTATGTTGTTGACTTTTACTTTTTTGAAGTCCTTTTTCATATTCAAAATAGTATTAAAATTTTAGAGTTAGATCAGGGTTTCTTAACTGACAGTATTGATATTTTGAGATGAACAATACTTTCTGTGGGGGCTGTCCTATTGTAGGGTGTAGGACATCCCTAGACTCTGTCTATTAGATGCTAGTAGCACCCTCTACTTGTCTCCAACCCCAACTTATGACGATCGGAATTATCTTCAGACACTGCAGGACTGGGCAGGACAGAAACCTCTATCAACAATTGGTGCAAACATGGCCAACTAAATCCACTTAAAACCTGAGAGAGTTTGGGAAGGAATTTTAGACATACACAAATACACTCTGGCGGCAAGCAGAGATGCAGCTCCTTTAAGAGTTTTCCTGACTCAGCTTTAGTGGCAAGAATTGTGCAGTTTCTTTAAGGGAAGCCTTTCTGGTTTGTGCTAGTTACAGGAACAGCTTTGGCCCCTTTTGGGGGTTGATGCCCACCATCCACAATGGGTCTGCATGCCTGTGGCTCAGTGTAGGCAGTGGGATCAGGTCTGCTAGACGTGCACAGGCAGGAGAGCATGGCGGATTCCTGCCGCCATACACAGATATTTCCAGGCTATGCAGTGTGATATGTGGCAGATTTAGGTTTTACTCAGATAGAAAGGGTTTATGTGCTGTATGCCCAGAGTCATGGTCGTGAGGACGGCTTCCACCCAGCAGTCCCAGAGCAGGTGGTGAACTACCTCTGCCATGTTGAAAGCCTGGGCTGCTGAGACCAAGCTGTCTACTATTTTTAAAGCACCCCTGGTCAGAAAATTATTACAGATATGCAATAAAGACAAATTAGATGTAAAAGACCTCTAAATGGGTCACAGTGTTAGATTAATGTACATAGGCTTGGGAGAGATAAATAGTTTTTTTTAAAAAGTGAATGGTTTAAAAAAATAAAACAAAGTCTTTAAAGAGACAGAGTACAGACAGTCCAGTCATAGATTAAAGGAGTAAAAAAAATAAGCCACATAAAGATAGAATATACACAGAGAGTATGGATTATGTATATTATTATATTTTCTTTTAATGTTTTGACTGTAAATGAGCTAAGTCAGAGAGACATGTCATTGTATGAGATGCTGAGCTAAACCAACATATGTATTTTAAAGGTATCTTGACTTCAAAATTTGGGTCTAAGGATATGTTGCTTTGGAAATGAGGTTTTGCTTTTGTTTCCACAGAAGATGAGAAACTGTGGATTCCTTTCAGACAAATATGGTTTGATGGACCAAGACACTCTGAAAAATCTCCAATAGGAGTGGGTGGCCCAGATGATCCAACATTTCAGAGGATCTCTATTAGAGTTTTCTCTGAGTTCTACATCTAGAAAAACCTCAAGACTGCTGGTTGAGTTCAAGACTTGACCATAATCTTATATTTTCTTTAGGTCCCCATAAGATTATCAGTGCCCCCAATCAGCAGGAAGTAGCCTAGAAAACTATACCCACATCCCGCCAAAATTGATTATGGATGTTTGTCTTTGTTTAGAGTGTTGGCTACAAGTTGTTATGGATAATGGTCAGGAAAAAAAGCTAAACAGAGGAGACTAGATTCAGAGTTCTTGTTTTTTTAAAAAAGGGGGGAGTGTTGTGCGACAATGATCTTGTACCCTGTAAAGATTTGTCACTTTTATTGGTTTAATAGAACGCTGATTGGCCAGTAGCCAGGCAGGAAGTATAGGCAGGGCCACCAGAATAGGAGAATTCTGGAAAGAGGAAAGGCTCAGTCTGCAGTCATCAACCAGACACAGAGGAAGCAAGATTAAAATGCCTCACTAATAAAAGGTACCATACTATGTGACTAACACAGGCACGAATTATGGGTTAATATAAGATGTAAAAGTTAATTAATAAAGAGCCTGAGTTAATAGGTCAACCAGTTTATAATTAATGTAGGCCTCTGTGTATTTCTTTGGTAATGAATGGTTATGGGACCAGGCAGAACAGAAACCTTTGTCAACAAAAAAGTGCTTTACAAAAACAGCACAGATATGAAAGAGGGATGGGGGCTTGGTGTGTATGTTAGAGAGGGACAAGGGGGTAGTGGCTAATGTTACTGGGATATGTTTTATATATGTATGAAGTAAGTACTTCGGTCAGGAAACCATTCTTTTCGTCTGTTTTTCCTCTACCACAAATCACACACTGCAGAAGGAATTACAGATGTTTTATGACCTTTTATGACTGAACCTTTATGGTGGTGTTAGTAGCTCAGATAAACCACATATTCCTTTTCTTACTCTTCAACCCTCCCACTTTGTGTTGGGAATTGAACATAGGGTCTCACACGCCAGTCACAATACCACTGAACTATCTTCCTGACCTCCTTATTTTCTCTTTTAATTAAAAACTAATAATTTGGGGCAGGAAGCAAGATTTTGCTGTGTAGCTCAGGCTAGCCTTGAACTCTTGATCCTTCTACCTCACCCTCTCCATCTCTGAGATGAGAAATGTGTGCCTCTATACCCAGCAAACATTTTTTTATTGTAAGAATTTGGTTGATTCTACATCTGTTTAACTTTTTGGAAAGATGAGCAGAATGAAATCTGTTCATATATTTCTTCATCTTTTTTGAGTGGAAATACTATATTTTAAAATCACATGAGTGATGGAGGAAGATCATTGGCTAATAAAGGAACTGCCTTGGCCCATTTTATTGGTTAGAAGATAGGTGGGAGGAGTGAACAGAACAGAACGCTGGGAGGAAGAGGAAGTGAGCTCAGACTCAACAGCTCTCCTCTCGGGAGCAGACGCCTGAGAGAGACGCCATGCTCCTGGCTCCTGGGCAGACGCACGCTATGAAGCTCCGACCCTGGATGGACATAGGCTAGAATCTTCCCGGTAAGCGCACCTAGGGGCGCAACACAGATGATTAGAAATGGGCTAAATTAATATGTGAGAATTAGCCTAGAAGAGAATGGGCCAAGCAGTGTTTAAATGAATACAGTTTGTGTGTTGTTATTTCGGGCATAAGCTAGCCGTGCGGGCGGCTGGGGTGCTGGGGACGCAGCCCCGCCGCCCATATTACTACACATGAGTAGTAAAATACATGTTCATAAAGCAGAAACAGTTCTAAGGGCTCCCTTCTCCTCCTTAGCTGGACAGTCTTCTCACTGAAAGCACAGATGCTACAGCTTAGCTTTTCCTTTTCATATGTGGGCATACATGAACACTAGAGTGCAATGGTTTGAGTTTCAGTGTATCCTGCTTGCTGCTCTCTCACTTTCCTTCTGCTTGAGAGTGTTTTTGAAACCATTTATATGTCCACATGACTACATGTAGCTTACTGTCTGGGTCTGTCTAATTATGCAATGATTATATAAATCTCTCTCTCTTTCCCACTCTCTCCCCTCTCTCTGTCATGTGTGACCATTTAAACCATTCTGTTTTTAAAATTTATTTTTGAAACAATCTTTTCTCATTTTATATACCAATCCAGTTTCTTCTTTCTCCCCTCCTTCCATTCCCCCCATCTTCCACATACCCACATATTCCATCCACTACTCAGAGAGGGTAAGGCTTC